AGCTACCCTCTTCCCCTTTGTAAAATTCCACTCTGCAATGTGGCCTTTGCACCAAGAACTTCTGAAACAGTGAGGACCGAGCTTTGTGTATGACCAATTATTTCTCCTTTTACCTCCTCCTCTCTTTCCCCCTGACAGTAATGTGAAGAGTAAGGAACAAGGGACAGTCAAGGGACAGAAGCTGACGCAGATGTTAATGTTGCTCACTCTTTTCCAGGGATCGGTAGCTGAAAGCCAAGGGCTGCTCTTTTCTGTGTTGCTTCAAGGATGTCAAAACTTTTGACACTGTAACAAAATGTCATCTAAAATGTGTTGGGTCACATTCATAGGTGTACTGGAACATATGAGGCCTATGAACCGTAGGCTGGATATGTCTGGTTTATAGCATTTATGACTATATGAATATTTAAGTGATACTAATAAATAAAGAATAGCCACTTCTTACATTTGTAGTATTGGGAAGATGTTGACATAAAAAGCAGGTGAAAATATGATTGTATAACAAACCAAAATAATCATGTCAGCAATAATCATGTCAGACACATACAGGCGTATTAGTCACAGTGCCCAGATCAGGGTTGGAGTCATCTTTCAAACCAGAAGGGAAGTCTGTGGCCCGTGGGTCACAGTAAAGACAGGTTCAGGGTAGGATTTAGGGTGAGACTGGTCAAGGGTGTGGGCGGCAGGAGCACAGCTGTCGACTACCTCAGGATAGGCGCTGACTAGCTCAGGATAGGGTCTGACTAAGCCTCTGCTTTGTATTTTTTGTTTGCTTGTTTGTTTCCTTCCATTTTTAAAGTATTGTTTGTTTGTTTGTTTTGAGTCGGGATCCTGCTGTGTAGCCCAGGATAGCCTCAAATTCTCAATTCTCTTGTCTTAGCCTTCCAAGCACTGGGAGTTTAGTCAGGTACCACCATGCCTCTCTCTTGCTTTTTACAAATCTTTATTTGGGTTGAAAAACACTGGCAGATTTTTCTGTAATTTCAAGCCAGGCCTGCTTCTTTATATATGTGTGACTGGTGACAAAGCAGTTACAGGCTTTCTTCAGTTAGCAGTGGTTACCATGCACTGTAGGCTTGGCCTGCCATGGGAAGACACAAGAGAAGTATGAGGCGAAAACAAAGAGGTGTGAGTTACAGTTGTAGCCCTTGGTGCCAGAATATGGTCCGGTTGTGGAGACATGACTTAAACATGGAAATAGTATAAGAGAGAAACTACTTGACAAACGTGGTGGCTCATACCTGTAATCCTAGCATTGGGGAGATGGAGACAGGAGAATCAAGGTCATCCTTGGCTTCATAGAGAGCTCGAGGCCAGTCTGGACTACATGAGACCTTGTCTCAAAATCTCAGGCTTGGGGCTTTAAACTGGATGGTCTTTAGGCCATCATGCCAGAAGGCAAAATGTACTGGAGAGTGAATGAAGCAAGTAGAGGAGGCATTCTGTTCTGGGAAGATGAGTAGGACCAGTTTTAGAGTTGAGACTTCTGGAAAATCAGTGGTTGAAGATGAAGCTAGCAAGTATTTGGAATCAAGATGTATGTTGTCTCTTCAGCTTTATCTTCTGGATACTAAGGAGTCACTAGAAGCTTTTGGACAGAGAAGCAATTCTGAGAAATTTATGTAATAAGACAAATCTGGTGGCCAGATAGAGGCATGTCAAAGGGTTCTTCAAATAGACCAGGTTCCTATATGTACTTTAGGGTTACTTTTGAGAAGTAATAATTTCAGCTGGGTGATGGTGGAGCATGCCTTTAAACCCAGCACTTGGGAGGCAGGTGAATCTCTGTGAGTTCAAGGACAGCCTGGTTTACAAAGCAGTTCCAGGACAGCCAGGGTTGTTACACAGAGAAACTCTGTCTTGGAGGGGAAAAAAAAGAAAGAAAAGAAAAGTAATAATTTCAACATGGGAGTGGCAAAAAGAACAGAACTAGATAGTTGAATACAAGGGACATATTGCTTCTTTTTGGCTATTTGCATTATATGGTTATTTAAATACTTTTTAATTAAAAAAAAAAGACAAAGGAGAAATCTATCAAGACTGAGTATCTTTTGCCTGTTGAAGTCATCAAGACTCATTGAGGTAAATCCAGTTTGAGAGCCAAGCAACTAGATAAGCACTTTATTAACAGAAATGGAAATGTTAGAATGGAGGATTAGATTGGCTATGTTTTGGAGAAAACACAAAGAGTTCATCTTTGAAAGATCATCTTTGATGCAGCAGGAGACAGAAATTTATTGGTGGAACATTCAAGTGGGAACTTGGTTCATGATAAACACGTAGGAGTTGCCTGCATCGAGATGACTGCTTAAGCTGTCTGAACGAGTGATGTCTTCCAGAGGAAGCAGAATATTGGGAGCACCAGCATTTTAAAGGAGGAAGAAGAACTGCCCCAACCCTGTATCACAGCCACAGGGAGGAGGAAGGCGTTACAGATTCACATTGGCATGGATAAGAGCATCCAGAGGAAAGTGGTGGTCAGAGGGTCAGATGCTGCTGAGAGGTGGAGGAGGGCAGGGCACGAAACTAGGAAGTTTCTGCCTGAAGAACACAGGGCTGCTGTAGTTGACTGTGCCGGGGGAGGGTTAGCAGTGAGCATGGAAGAAAAGAGCATCGGCTTACAGGTTAGACGGAAGGAGTGAAGAGGGAGCTATGACTGTCACTCCTCTTGTCTTGCAAGTTTGTGCATGCACACACACTTAAAGGCAGAAAGGAGAGGTTAGGCCAGTAATTCATTTGGACAACTTTATTCAGTACCAGCTAAAGATGTATGTCCAATAAATCAATAGCCTCAAGGAAAAAGAATGGCGGAAGCAGGATTCCAGAGAAAAATGGGAGACTATGGATTAGGAGACTAGCAGAACCTGAGACTGACCTTGGAATTCTGGGCAAAGTAGGTGGGTATCTGCTGAACAGAGAGAGGATCAGGGGACAAGTGATGGGGTCAAGAGGGAGATGTCAAAGAAACACTCAGAGAGGAACTGAAGCTAGATGGTTTAGTGCCAGTGACGCTTGACAGACTCTCCACTTTCTAACCGCATTTGTAAGAAATGGTGGGGCTGGGAGCTGGCTCATCAGTATGACATGTAAGCACGGGGACTTGAGTTCCATCCTTAGCATTCACCTAGAAAGCCAGGTGGTTGTAACCCAAACTCTGGGGAGGTGGAGACAGGAAGATCTCTGAGGCTTGCTGGCCAGCCAGTCTAGTTGAATTGGTGAGGCACAGATTCACTGAGACTTGTCTCCCAAAATATGGTGCCTGAGGAAGACACCTGTTATCAACTTCTGGTGTCTGTACACACATGCGTGCACATTCAGACATGAGTGTTCATATAAACACACACATACTTGCACAAAATGGTTATCAGAGGCAGCTTAGAAAGTGATTGTTCTTGTACCTTTAAGGGTTTTACCTTTCCTATCACTGTAGTGTTTTTTCATATATATATATAAATTTTTAAATATATATATATTTAAAAAATTTTCCAATATCACCATAATTATAAATTGTATAGCTACTCCAGAAAGACCTTAAATAGTTCCAAGATTATCTAGGTTATAGATATGTCAGTCTGAAATCATAGTTCTTTCTTTCTCTCAACTTCCACTGTATATGTGTGTGTGTGTGTGTGTGTGCGCGCGTGCGTGCGTGCGTGTGTACAGGTACAAGTTGACATCTGTGCCTCCTTTAATATATAAACTTTACATATATATATGCATATATATATATATATATATATATTGAGATGAGGTCTCTGAGTGAATCTGGAACTCACCAATTAGGCTAGACTGGCTGGCCAATAAACCCCAAAGAATCCAAATCCATGCCCATCTTCTCTCTCTCTCTCTCTCTCTCTCTCTCTCTCTCTCTGTGTGTGTCTGTCTGTCTGTCTGTCTGTCTGTCAATGCTAGAAATCATGTTCAGTCCTTTATGCTGTATTGTGAACACTTTATCTAGAGTGAGCTATCTCCCCAGGTCTAAAATATCAGGACTTTCTAGAAAAATTTATTAATGTATATGAATGGTGCTACTTGGCCCTGTCTGAAAAGTGATGCATGTTTTTAAGCCAGCTAAACACCAAATTATCTATCTGCAGCCCTATAGAATTCAAGAAGACCAGGAGGCCAGGTGGTAGGGAGTATGTCTCATTCAGAACACAGAATATCATGAGAATCCCTGTGATGAGATTTGTGTGGGAACATGGTTCTTAAGAGTAGTAAACCTGGTTATTAGGTTCTATTGAGAAGGCTAAGCTCACTACACAGAGGAGCTAAGTTTGTAATACTTACAAATGTAATACTTACCTGGGTACTTGATAGAGTCTCCAGATTTAGCAAGATACAACCTGAATAGGAATGAAGAATTGGTTTCTGTTACAGGTATAGTTCCAAGAAATAAATGATAGACTAAGTCCCAGTTCTGACTCTCAACTCTATTCCTGAGTTTCCTACCCTCCTAAGGCTGGTAGGTCTAATGGCAGAACATGGGAACCATTAGTCTCTCAAACAAGGAGTCCAGAATGTGCTTCTGAGTGGAATTGACTTGCTTTCTCAAGATGCTGTATTTTTAAGTCATTATGCATGCATGTGTGTGCATGTGTGTGCACATGAAGACCAAGAAACGTGTGGAGACCACAGGACAACACTAGGTGTTAGGCCTTACTTTTGGCCTTGTTTGAGAGATGGTCTCCTGTTCATTGTTGCATATGCCAGATTAGCTAGCCTGTGAGCTTCTGGAAACTTTCCTGTCTATGTCACCTATCTTGGTGTGGGAGTTTTGGGGTCACAGGTACATGTGACTGTGCCCAGCTTTCATGAGTTCTGGGGATCTGAATTCCAGTGCTTATACTTCAGAGCAGTACTTTACCCACTAGTCCATCTCCCTGGTCCTCAAGCTTTTGAAGGGGAAGGACAATCTGGCCAGAGCCTAAATGAATCAGTGGAGTTTATTCATGGAGGGGTAACTCAGATATTTATTTTTCCCTTTCCTTTCCGCATAGGCATGGCCTCACATGTGCAAGTTTTCTCCCCTCACACCCTTCAATCAAGTGCCTTCTGTAGTGTGAAGAAACTTAAAGTAGAGCCAAGTTCCAACTGGGACATGACTGGGTACGGCTCCCACAGCAAAGTGTACAGCCAGAGCAAGAACATAGCACCTTCTCAGCCAGCCTCCACAACCGTCAGCACCTCCTTGCCAGTCCCAAACCCAAGCCTACCTTACGAGCAGACCATCATCTTCCCAGGAAGTACTGGACACATAGTTGTAACATCAGCAAGTAGCGCTTCTGTCGCCGGGCAAGTCCTTGGCGGACCACACAACCTAATGCGTCGAAGCACTGTGAGCCTCCTTGACACCTACCAAAAATGTGGACTCAAGCGAAAGAGTGAGGAGATTGAGAACACTAGCAGTGTGCAGATCATTGAAGAGCATCCACCCATGATTCAGAATAATGCCAGCGGGGCCACTGTAGCCACTGCCACCACATCCACCGCCACCTCCAAAAACAGCGGCTCCAACAGCGAAGGTGACTATCAGCTGGTGCAGCATGAAGTACTGTGCTCCATGACCAACACCTATGAGGTTTTAGAGTTTTTGGGCAGAGGGACATTTGGGCAAGTGGTCAAGTGCTGGAAACGGGGCACCAATGAAATTGTAGCCATTAAGATCCTAAAGAACCACCCTTCCTATGCCCGGCAAGGTCAGATTGAAGTGAGCATCCTAGCCCGGCTGAGCACAGAGAGTGCTGACGACTACAACTTTGTTCGGGCCTATGAATGCTTCCAACACAAGAATCACACATGCTTAGTCTTTGAGATGTTGGAGCAGAACCTCTATGACTTTCTGAAACAGAACAAGTTTAGCCCCTTGCCCCTCAAATACATTCGCCCAGTCCTCCAGCAGGTAGCTACAGCCCTGATGAAACTAAAAAGCCTGGGTCTTATCCATGCTGACCTCAAACCAGAAAACATCATGCTGGTAGATCCATCCAGACAGCCATACCGAGTGAAGGTCATTGACTTTGGTTCAGCCAGTCACGTGTCCAAAGCCGTCTGCTCTACCTACTTGCAATCTAGATACTACAGGTAAGACTTTTTCCATGGAGATGGTCATAGGGTGCAGGAGGTCCAGTGGCATCCCCAGGGATGTAGAGAGTCACTTTGGGGAAGATACCAACATAGCTAGTGGTTGCCGCCAGAAAGAGATCTTAATACGGAGGCTGGAGAGATGGCGTAGTGGCTAAGAGCACTTGCTGCTCATACACAGGACTTTAGTTTGGTTCCCAGCACCCACGTGGCAGCTCACAACTATCAGTAAATCTAGTTCCAGGGGATCCATCACCCTCTTACGGACTTCAGACATTTATATGATATACATACATGCATTCAGGCTATTATGCACAAAAATAAATGTGAGAGACCTTAATGTAGTTGAAAAATTAGAATACATGCAGATGGGAATGACAATGAGAAGCCAGCTAAGGAGCCATCCAAGTAACATTCTTGGTCTGGTATTGGAGTTGAAAAGGATTGTGGGAGCCAGATGGAGAGCATAGTGGAGAAGTCAGGTTCTTTGGGATGGAGAGAATCCAGATAGCTAGAACAGGAAGGATGTGCCAATAATAGACACAGGGTAGCAAAATATAAGACTAGTTTAGGAGATGAGGATGAACTGCCTGGCCAGATCAGAGGATTTGTGAGTAATGCATGGAACAAGTTCTGGAAACTTCGAATGAGCAAGGCTTTGTGGGGGAGGGGAGTGGTATTGGGGGAGGGTGCAATAGGTTGATAGCAGTGTTCTAAGAAGACTATTATGCTCCTGTGGCAAAGGCTGGAGGAAGGGAAGAGCTTTGTCCTGGGGCCAGTTGCTGCCTCCTGTGTTACGTTTATGTCAGGAAACATCTACGCGGAAACATTATAAGGAAATACCTAAGACTGTATAATTTTGTAAAGGAAAAAGGTTTATTTAGCTCAAGTTCTGAAAGTTCAAGGTCATGATGCCATCAACAGCCTTATAGTCGATGGCCTCACAGTGGTGGGAGCGTGCATGGGAGTAAGAGACTCAGGTGAGCTTCAAGCTTTTAAGACAACTTTTACTGAAGAGAACTAACTCAGGGGTTTATAACCTTAATTCCTGCCAAGGACGCACTGATCAGGAGCTTCCACTGGACTGGACCACCTCCCACCATCACTATACTGAGGACCATTCTTTGAACTGATGACCCTTGGTGGGGGGGGCGGGGACGACAAACTACACTCTAGCAAGAAAACTTGCACATTCAGACAGCACACAAGTGTTTGTCTCATTTCTGATGTGGGCCTTGCACAATGCTAGCTGGCTCCAAGGTTGTAAATTGGGCTCTGGACCCCCAGGAGTCCCCAGAAGGCTTTGGCATCACTGGAACCCAGAACTGGGTTGATCCCTACACTCGTTAGCTGTGTGATTTGTGCTCACTGCCTAACTTCTATATATTCTCATTTCCTGACCTATGACTGGAAGCGGGGGCAAGGGGGAACTTTATACCAGTTCTAGGGTGCTGTTGAACCATCACATGTTGTGATATAGCCTGGTGCTGTGTGCTATGTGGGAGACACAGGGCCAGAAGTGGTAGAAATGGAGAGGGGGTTTCAGGGTTGTGGAATGGCAAAGGGCCGTGCTGGAAGTAGTAGTGACCAGTCCCACGGCAGAAAGTGGAAAGAAAAGAAACTCAAAATTCCCATGAAAAAGTAGGAGAATCCCAGGACTTCCTGTCCCACACCCTGATGGAGGATATGCTTTCCCACGCCTTCTTCAAGGACCTAGTGGGAAGACTGGGCAGACTTGAGCTGTGCTAACACCGCTGGCCTACGACCTCTTCTGAGAGCTGACTGCCAGCCTGTCTGCTTGGTCTCCCCTGCCTTGACTTGCTCCTCTTCCTGAGCCCAGTCACTGCTTGCAGCACTGTTGCGTGTCTCCTCCTGTTCTGTCTGTGCTCTCCCACCCTCGGCCCTCAGTCATTCCTTCCTTTCTGCCTTGTTGTGTTTTAATCTGACTCAGAGCGCGGGTCTCGAGTCTTCTCCATTCCTCTTAAGAGGGATTCCTGAGTTCAGATTCCTAGCTCTGGAATCTGAGATGGGACAGTGATGGCTTTCTCTCTGAATTCAGACATACATACTGCCCTCTGCTCTTAAGAGGAGTTCTCACAGGCTTCTACATACTTGTGAGGATAAATCTACCCCTGCTCGATTTCTTTCCCCCATTCAGCCTGGGGGAGCCATGGGCCCACTGCTGGGGCCACCCAGGAAGGTGGAGGCTGGACAGTGGGAAACTACCTTCCTTGGTAAAGAAGGAGGCCAAAAGCCAGTGCTCTCTTGAGAGTGCCTGGCCCTTCCTGGAAAGCCAACTCAGGATGGTTCCATACAGGGAACCTCTTGCCCCAGGGGTGGCTATTGCTGGAGTGCTCTCTAGTTACTGTAAAATGGAGGCTGCTGCCGCCGCTTTGTATTTAAACTTAATGAATTCAGGGTGCCAAAGGCTATTTTTTTCCCAGTTCTTGGCCTGAAGATAGGGAACACTGTGCCAAGTCAAGGGCTGTGTGAAGTTTTATTACTTAGTTAACCTGTATTGCTTTTAGTGAACAGAATCCAGCTTCACTGAAGTTTGCTAAAAATTAAGCATGGAGACTAACTATATTTAATAAGCAATGCATCCTTGTAGCAAAATGTGACTCAAGTTACATTTGGGATTCTGAAACCTTTTCTGTATTGTTGCCCTCTTGTGCCAGCCACTGTCACTCAGCCCACTATCTGCCTCTCAGAAAGGACGTTCTGAGCTAGGATGGCTGTAACATTTCCATGGGAACTGGGGCAGGACTAAATCCTCTACTTGAACTTCATATCCCTCCTCACCAACTTTGAGGCCTAATCAGCCATTTGAGCACCTCATGGGGTGATAAAGCCTGCTTGCTTATTGTCAGGCACTTAGGAGCTCTCGACTGTCATTCCTCAACAGGCACAGTCACCTCTGCTTCCTGCATCCTTACTTCTTTCTGAGATACCTTCTTCCTGGGTGTCTTTCCTTAGGCTTTAAGTGACTAGTATCTAGTACGAGGCAGAATGGTTTCCCTCTCCCCCAGGGTCTCCATGGTCTTGTGTCCTCAAAGGCCAGCTAGCTAGGCAACCTTCAATTAGGGTCAGGGGCACACGGTTCTGGAATGATGCTTGATTTCCAAACTAGTCATGATACTCTACCCACCACAGGCCTCATCTGGGTCCTGGCATGGCCAGTGTACTGCCTCCCAGGTCAGCGGAAGCTTACGAGAAGAGCATCCAGCTTTGACCCTGTTCATCATAGCTGTAGAGGACTGGCAGTATAGACCATACTGACTACTTTTATCTTTTACCTGGGGAGAGGAGACAAGAGAAAGTCTTTGGTTGTTTATCATTAAGACCCTTGTCCTTTTAAAAGAGCATACTTTCAGGGACATTTTGAGAGAACGGGGGCAGGGGGAATGCTTTCTGGATGCCTGGACAGAGAGGTCATTGCAAGCTACAGATCTGTCATTCCCAGGGCCTGCCACATGGACCTTTTGTCCTGTCCTTCACCATGTTAAACACTATATATATTAAGTGCCACTCTCATGACCCCATCAGGTATGATAAAAAATAGTGTGATACAAAGCAAATTTCCTGTTTTCACCCCAAGGGACCTAGAAAGGAAGGTGGTGGCCTGAAAACCACCTATTTCCCCAGCAGCTAGGTATGTGTTTGGCTCTGCCCCAGCACTGCCTCCCAGAGCCCCAGGAGCTCCCTTGCCTCTCAGTGGTCCACTCACCTAAGCTGGATCCTCAGCAACGCCACAGAAAAGAGCTTTGTCAAGGGCCAGGATGAAGCAAAGTTAGGGAGTTTATTAAGTATTTAGGTAGATATAGAACAGGGATGATGTATACTCAATACAGAGAAGGCTTCTCAAAGTCACAGTTGGCTACAAATAATTAGTGTGCATTACTCAAAGGTTGTAACTGACCAGGTTTAAAGAGTAAGCAAAGCTTAAAATTTAAGTAAAGTTTCAAAAACAAGTAAAAACACATGAGTAGGCTTACTTATTTCTCTTACATTAAAGGTTTTCCTTTTGTAAATGAAATAGTGAGGATTTTTTATGAGGTACATAATTTAGATTTAAGAGAGAGGTGTGTATTAAAAGGTAAAGCTCAAAAGTCTCAAACATTCTGGCCCTAAGTGGACCTAGTTCATTTGTTTGTAACATCCTTATTTGAAGTATCCTTAGAAAAACATGATTATTTCTGTGGGCACTTTTGGCTTTGTTAGTTATTTTGAACTTTCCTGACACTCTTCCTACGCCGCCTTAATCATGCTCTCTTTATTTCTAGCCTGCCACAGAACTACTGTTTCCATTCTATGAGGACAGCCCAATATATAGCTTTAAGAAAACAGGGTGACCTTTTCAGGTCTTTGTAAGTCTAATGGTGAGTTGGAGGGTGCCTTCCAACTTGACCTATGTCCTGAAGGTCAGCCGTGAGGGGAATGTCAGCAGGGCTGGTTCTCAAGCTCTTCTTGCACCTAAGAATCTGGAAAGCTTATATGGGAGAATTATTTTAGATCCCACCCAGGAGCTACTGTGCCCTCTGTGGGGAAGAGGTCCCTGATCCATGGACGTCTCCATCCTCTGCCCCACCCCAGAGACTCTTGAGAAGCTCTGTTCTGGCTGAGAGCAGGCTTCCTCCAAGGTGCCACCTTTCAGGTGCTCATGCCCAGAAGAGCACAGCGGCAGGGCACCCTGTCTACTTGTATCACCTCACTAAAGAAGTCCCTACCAGGTCATTATTTAACTACATTGGTACCAAGGTTTTGGTTTTTTTGAGTAAGCAATTAATTGATGCTGGGTTATTTCTGCTGTCAGTATGACCAGTAAATTAAAAACAAGACCAAATATTAAACTCTGAAACACACACACACACACACACACACACACACACACACACA